GCTTATGTACTTTTGTCATTTATCAGCCTGAAATTCGTCAATTTCAAAGCTTTTGTAACAAAGGCCTCTTTTACACATTTCCCTTTTTATTGCTTTTATTTTTACACCATGGTTTCACTAAGGATCCTACTCTTTATGGCCAACACTTTTTGGATCCTTCACTTTATGGCCAACACTTTATGGATCCTACACTTTATGGCCTACACTTTTGGATCCTTCACTTTATGGCCAACACTTTATGGATCCTTCACTTTATGGCCTACACTTTTTGGATCCTACACTTTATGGCCAACACTTTTGGATCCTACACTTTATGGCCTACACTTTTTGGATCCTTCACTTTATGGCCTACACTTGTTACCATGGCGGCGCATGAACATGATGCGGCTTCTCTCTCTCGACAAGGTGACGTTTCTACCCTTTTCTACCCTTTTCTGCAAACTGCATTTGCAGTTTTTGTGATCCGCATTGTTTTGCAAGATGCAAGAAACATACTTTGCCATGTTTTTGTGGAGTTCAGCGGATTTTTTACTGCCAAAGCTCTTTGCTAGCTCTTTTAAAAGTAAACACACAGTTAGCATCTGAGCTAAAGGCTTTTTGAGCAGTATTTAAGACCTACAAATCCAGAGATATCATCTTCTGAAGCGCTGACAGGTCACCGAGGGGCCCACGCATCTGCAGCACAGTGGAGGCGTCACAAGAGGCGCTACAGGAGTCCCCGTTGTGGGCAACCTCTACAGAGGGACTGTAGAGAGCATCCTGACCAGCTCCATCATTGTGTGGCACGGCACCAGCACTGCCTCCTGCCGAAGGAGCCTCCAGCGCATCGTGAGAGCAGCAGAGAAGATCTGTGGAGCCCCTCTCCCCACCATTAAGGACATGTACTCCACCCGTCTCACCCGCAAAGCCGTCAGAATCACCAGGGACCCTACGCACCCATCACACAGGCTCTTCAGGGTAATGCCTTCAAGGAGGAGACTGCAGAATTTACCGAACAGTTCCAGTCGACTTAAAAACAGTTTCATTCACAAGGCCATCAGGAAGCTGAACTCCCTGAACTTTTGGATCCTACACTTTATGGCCTACACTTTTTGGATCCTTCACTTTATCTCAACACAATATAGAGAGAGTTCGACAGACCTCAAAAACAGACCAAAATTTAGCTAGTATCCAATTATGCAGACTTTACATATAAAAAGGTGTCTGCTTACCTTATTCTTGTCAACCGGTTCCAAGGACTGTCCAAGAAGTCTGCGAACTCTTTTCCGCGTCGGAAAATTCAAATTAAACGCAAGTGAAAGAAGCGACAAGAAGCATACAGGAACAGCTCTTCCAGCCTGCTGGAATCTCCGCTCCCAGACACAGCATGCCGGTCTCTCATGCCGAGGAAAAGAAAACAAAGGAAACTCCCTCAAAACAACCAGAGAACCGCCAAACTCTGGAAGTTTATTTAAGTTTCTCTCAAGTTCCAGGTGTTTCCATTGTTTCCTTCTCTCAGATAAAATGGAGTCAGTACACAGTTTATATAGTCATTGTCACGTCACACATCAAAAGACATACTATGCACATACTATGCACATCATAGTCAAAATAATCAGAGTCCTTGTAGAGTCCTGCACGTAGGCCATATTGCTATCTAATACTAACAGAGTCCTTCGCTATTTTTCTTCACACTGTAGGGTGAGAAAATGTCGATATCACACATAACTTAAGTTATGTACCTGATATCGGAGAATTGGATAAAAACAACCATGTAATAAATACAATAATTGATAATAGCTTTATTTAGGGGCACCAGGGAATAACTCCCAACTGATAACGTGCATATGACGTCACAATATCAATTAATTGGCTCATTTATTGATTAAGTAATCTCATGAGTCCTTTCATTATTTAATTAGCTAATTAGTCCAATTCTCTTCAATAGAATCTGAAGGTAGTGAATTCTTTTACAAATCAGTGACCCAATTTCTGGAGTTAAAAGTACAAATATCACTTTCAGACAAAGATGGTTTTGTAGATTTAATGAAGTATACACAATACAGACTATATGAAATATGCAAATTGTCAAGAATAACATGAAGGAAACGTTGATTTCAAGATACATTGTTAAAATGCTAGGCTAAAGTGAGCTAAGCAAGACCTTTGTCTATGAATGGATTGGTATAGGCTGAGGCCTGCATGTGTTCAGCCTTGGTAGGAGAAGTATTCTTTGAAGTATAGGTTTTAATAAAGCCAACAGCTGTGTGTAGCAAGAGAGCAGATCATACAACCAGAATAGCCTTTGGTGAATAGCAGTCCTTGGGTCTTGATGGTGTTGGATGGAGGCTTCTTATCCACGGGGCCAGGACTATGCGGCTGCATCATGTGGCTGAACCAAGTCCTCTCACGATCCACAGTCTAGGTGCCAAAACTCAGCAACTTCTTCAGGTGGAAGCTGGAGGCTATTGAAGGGTTGTGGAAGTCCTCTCAAACGTGGAGCTGAGGTTTGAGGCCATCTAAGAGGCCCAAGGCCCCTTGGTTTCCTGAGCAGAGCCCAGGGCAGAGCCCAGGGAGGTCTGGTCACTCCGTGGTTCCAAAGCAGACTGGTTTGTCTTCCCTCTTGTAGAGTCGTTGGGGGAAGGGTGTTGCCATGGCACTTATCTTAAAACATTCTTACCCACAATAAAACCTGAGCCACAAGGATTTACACACAGTGGAGACAGAAGTTATAATATGTCTCAATATACAACAAAATGTCTTTGATTGAGGAAAGAGGTCATTTTAATTTATCCTACAACCCCCCCTTTGTGTCCAGCTCCGCAAACAAAGCGAGAGGTTGACACAACACAATTTTGATTATGACCGATGACGAACGTTCACTGTCCAAGTTCTTTACGGGGCGGAGTTCTCAGCAGGAAGCAAAGCTCTCAGTAGGATGCGGAGTTCTCAGCAGGAAGTAGAGCTCTCAGTAGGAGGCGGAGTTCTCAGCAGGAAGCAGAGCTCTCAGTAGGAGGCGGAGTTCTCAGCAGGAAGTAGAGCTCTCAGTAGGAGGCGGAGTTCTCAGCAGGAAGTAGAGCTCTCAGTAGGAGGCGGAGTTCTCAGCAGGAAGCAGAGCTCTCAGTAGGAGCCGGAGTTCTCAGCAGGAAGCAGAGCTCTCAGTAGTAGGCGGAGTTCTCAGCAGGAAGCAGAGCTCTCAGTAGGAGGCGGAGTTCTCAGTAGGAGGCGGAGGCGAAGTTCTGCTGTAATAGAGCTCTATTGCTCATGTCACAAAGTTGGCTTTTAGTTTGTCCTAACTGTGTTTGAGACAATGTCAGGAGTTTTATAGCTAAGTCTGTGTGTATGCTCTATCTAGAGTTCACTGGAGTGGTTTTATTCAGATTAACTGGTAAGGATATTTGTCTGAGCTTTTCCATTCTTTGATGGAGATAGCTAAGGCTATGGTAATAGCTGGAGGCAAAGATGCTTGTATTAGCTAATGCTAGGCTAGTAGCTGGAAGCTAATATCTGTAGCTATATGCTGTTATAATTGACAATAGAGAATGTATAAAATTTAATCTTCAAACAATTTGGAGTGTTGTTGAGGGAGGATACTTTCACTGAGACAATTCAACGTGGAGCCAAGTCTTACTGGCTTGATTTTGCCGCAATAATGACTCTTATTTGAGCATAGATTTTCCTATAAAAGTGACTTTGAATCTCAGATATTCTTCTATGTTTGCTCTTTTGGTAGAGCAAAAGTATAAGCAAATACGCGCAACTGGAAATTATTAACCAGTGGTGGCTCGTTTTACTACTTGGTTTGACGATTTACATGCTGGACTTACTTGCAGCGATTTTTGCTTAATCGTGCTTGTGTGGGTAGCTAATCTCACATACAGGTCTTTTGCTAAAGGTTAACGGAGAGTCGCGTTAGACCAAGCTTAAAGATCGTGGGGGGTGTTGATCGGGCCCTGGACATCGCAAGTTGCCACTTACATTTACACCGAGACCCCTTTGATCGAGGGTTTACACGCTGGGGCGTACTCGCAGCGATTTACGTAAAACATGCCTGTGTGGATAACAAGTCCCACTTCAGGATCCTTTGCTAATGGCTAACGGAACGTCGCGTTTAGTCATAGCTTTGAGATCAGGCGGTGTATTGAACGCCCCTGGAAAGTCGCAGGTGGTCATGTTCATTTACACTCGATGCCTCTTGGTTTTAAGCTTTACATGCTGGACTTACTTGCAGCGATTTTTGCTTAACCGTGCTTGTGTGGGTAGCTAATCTCACATACAGGTCTTTTGCTAAAGGTTAACGGAGAGTCGCGTTAGACCTAGCCTAAAGATCGTGGGGGGTGTTGATCGGGCCCTGGACATCGCAGGTTGCCGCTTACATTTACACCGAGACCCCTTTGATCGAGGGTTTACACGCTGGGGCGTACTCGCAGCGATTTACGTAAAACATGCCTGTGTGGATAACAAGTCCCACTTCAGGATCTTTTGCTAATGGCTAACGGAACGTCGCGTTTAGTCATAGCTTTGAGATCAGGCGGTGTATTGAACGCCCCTGGAAAGTCGCAGGTGGTCATGTTCATTTACACTCGATGCCTCTTGGTTTTAAGCTTTACACGCTGGAAGTCACTCGCAACCATTACGTCTTGAACTAATGTGACATAACGAGGGTTAAACGTACAGGTTAAAAATTTTGCTATTGTCAACAACGCCACCTAGAATAGGCCTAGGACCCTGCACAAGGCAGACACAGGTTCGCACAGGTTTTTAAAGTGATGGGGGCAGAGACAAAACCCAAAACTTGACTACAAAAGTACAAAATTTATTTTCATTTAAAACATTTTTAAGTTAGGAACATTTGATTAATCATGGTAATTGCCAAAAGCCAAACAAAAAAACACATGCACACACACACACACACACACACATGCAAAGAACAAAGAAAAAAAAAGATTAAACAATCCTAAACTCAATTACAGTTAAAAATGTACAAATTTACAGTTTGGGTGTCCAGGTGCTCTGTGGGCCTAATATTGATGATCAGTGTCCACAACTGGAGCGACTCTGGCCTGTGGGGTCAATCCAGAGCAGTGGAGGCAGGAGGAGCTGCGCCGGTGGAAACGGGGCTCAGAATTTGTGTACTTGTGATGATTGGCAGTCTCCAAACTGCCGCGGGAGGTGCAGCTCGGTCCCGCTGAAGTGCAGGGAAGCTGAGGTTAGACCACTAAAGATTAGAATTTGAGTATACATCAGGCAATAACGGCAACTCACCAATCAGAGAAAGCACCGGTCCCCCAGACCCCGAACGGAGGCGTGCTCTCAACCTCCGCTGTGCGTAATTCAGCGCCAACTAAATTAAAATGAGCTGTTAGGGTGACTGGGGACAGCCAAATGGATCAGAGGGAAGATGGCACCATGCTTACCCACAAGCAACGTCTGAGAAGCACAACGGGCTCACACAGGCCCTTCACTAAGGTTTGCCACACTGGAGGAGCTGGCCACACTGGAGCAGGAGGAAAGCGCGTGAGTGCCAAATGCGCGCAAGTGGAAGTGTGGGATAAATGATGCGCACTCACCAAAACGAGCAGAAGGCGTTTCCCAGGGCAGCGCTCACGCCGCCCAAGCCCACATACGTGCCAACAGGGCCACCAACCACTGTGTGAGGCTCCCCACCAGCACAACTCCACGGACCCAAAGAGACTGCTGCTTCCCGCAGGAGTGGCAAAAGAGTGAGCGCCCTCAGGCTCGGGCTTAAAAAAAAAAACAACCCACAGGTCCTGCCCCTGCAATTAGTGGCAGGCAGGTGCGTGAGGTGGTGTTTAAATGAAACAGGTAAGGGGAGGGCAGACGCACTCCACACTGCTACATCTACCCCCCACCTTTGTATCGTCGTCCCGACGATAGACAGTTAGGACCACGGCCGAAAGATGGCAGCCTGAAGTTTAGAGCTAGGATTCGACGCGCCACCGTGTTCACGTATCAATGGCCGAGTATGACGAGGGAGCCGGTAAATGTTTGAGTGTTGGCCCGCACCATGGCGGGTGGTGCGACGCAATGTTGGGTGGTCCGGGTCAACCAAAGGGGGCGCCTCATGACCAGGTAGTACAGCGGTGAAAGTAGCCTGACCGAGATCTGGCCCAGACCTGGGGGGAACACAAGGTGGTGCACTGGGAGCACCCACTGGCTCATTAGTTTCAGAAACCAGGAGCCACACATCACTACTTGAAGAGTCATCAAGAGGGGTCACTTCTGGTTCCGATGGGGAGTGGGGCGCCAGATGTGCCACTTCTGCAGGTTTCACCACTGGTTTCAGCATGTCACGATGCAAGTTCCTAGCTCTACCCAAATCATCTACCGGGGCCACTGAGTAAACTACACCCTGTCCAGGTGGGACACGCACAACCTGATGGACCACTGGGCTCCAAAGATCTTGGATCTTGTTTCGCCCTCTGGCACTATGGTCCCTCACATAGACATGCTGACCCACCACCAGTGGTGTGTCCCGCACATGTAGATCATGCCGCTCCTTCCTGCGGTTTGCAGCCACCAGAAGCCTCTCACGAGCACAACTGAAAGCAGCTCTCAGCCTCTCCTGGTGTTCTGCTACCCAGCCTTGCACCTCGCCTGGCCTTGGCTCATCAATTCTCCCCAGGAGGAAGTCAATCGGGAGCCTTGGCTCTTGACCAAACAGCAGGTAGTATGGAGACTCCCCAGTACCCTGATGAGGTGTGGTGTTGTAGCAGAAGAGCACCTGAGGTAAACAAGCAGCCCAGTTACTCTTCTGTGGCAATGGTAACGTGCGAAGGTTATGAAGTGTGCGATTAAATCGCTCACATTGGCCATTGCCAGCCGGATGGTACGGCGTTGTTCGCGACTTTTCCACCCCATACAATGAGCAGAGCTGTCGAATCAAGGCACTCTCGAAACTCCTCCCCTGGTCAGAATGCAAGCGACTTGGAACCCCAAACTTATAAAACCACTCTGAAATCAACACATGGGCCACTGTAGGAGCAGTTTGGTCTCGTGTAGGAACCGCAACAGTAAACTTACTAAACACATCAGTCATAACCATGACATTCTCATATCCATTTCGCGAAGGTTCTAGCAATGTGAAATTTATGGCCAAGATCTCATTTGGGCGGGAAGCTAGCAGGTGACCCATGTAACTGCGTGACCCCTGTCCGGTGTCCTTTGCCACCTGGCACCGCTCACATTCCTGTACCCAATTTCGGACGTCATTGAACATTCCCGGCCAATAGCACCTCTGACGGACCAATTCTGCGGTCCTTTCCATGCCCTGGTGGCCATGTTGTTGATGAAGACTGCCCAAGGTTTCAGCCCGTAAAGAAACTGGCAGGAGAAGCTGTAAGATTTCCTCTCCCCCATCTGAACGGTACGTCTTGCGGAAGAGAACTCCCTCTTGTTCCACCAGACGTTTACGTTGGCGCAGCAGGGCCAGGGCAGGCCTTGAAAGAAGACGCCGCTCAGCAGGAGGGGGATTAGTTTGCTGCCGCAAATACCCAAGAACCTCCCTTAACCAGGGGTCCTCCTCCTGTAATGATCTAAGGTGGGCCGCTGAGTGGCTTGGGAGAGCAGAGACCAGCGATTGGGTGGCCGTGAGTTTGTCGCATAGCACCGGCCCATGCTGCAGCTGAAGGGGGGTTTGGGTACCAGGCATCAATTGAGCCATGGTCTCCGAGCCCGACGGGTGCTGCCTGGATAGAGCATCCGCGTTCTTGTTACTTCGACCCGAACGGTACCTTATTTCAAAGTCAAAGGCAGCAAGCTGAGCGGCCCATCTTTGCTCTGTCGCCCCCAACTTTGCGGTTTGGAGATGGCTAAGCGGATTATTGTCAGTGTACACTGTGCACCTGTGACCCAACAAATATTCGCGAAACTTCTCCGTCATCGCCCACTTGAGCGCCAAGAATTCGAGCTTCATGGAACTATAAGTTGCCATATTGCGCTCTGTGGGCCGCAATCCACGACTAGCGTAAGCCACCGGTCTCACCCCACTGGGTGTCTCTTGGGAGAGGACAGCTCCCAGGCCACTATAACTAGCGTCCACCTCTAAAATAAAAGGCTTTGCAAAGTCTGCATACGCCAAGACAGGCGCAGACACCAACTTTGCTTTTAAGGCCTCAAACGCTTCTTCACACTGTAGCGTCCAAGCAGCCCCAAGCACACTGCCCGAGCCCCTCTTTGATTTACTGCCCGCCAGCTCCGCTACCAGCCGGTGTAGAGGGCCCGCCAACTTAGCAAACCCCTCCACAAACCGGCGGTAGTAGCTAGCAAAGCCCAAGAATGAGCGCAGCTCAGGGGCATTCTGGGGACGCTTCCACTGGGACACTGCCTCGATCTTTTTAGGATCAGTAGACACCCCCTGATCTGAGATTACATGGCCCAAGTACCCCACCTCGCGCTGGAAGAATGAGCACTTCTCGAGCCGCACCTTTAGGCCCTCCGTCCTAAGCCGCCCGAGCACCACTTCCAGCCGCTGGAGATGTTGTTCAACAGAGGATGAGAAGACTACGATGTCATCAAGGTATAGCAGCAAGGACTGACCCTGCTGATCCCCAAACATCCTCTGCATCAGCCGCTGGAAGGTGCCCGGGGCATTACACAGCCCGAAAGGCATGCGGTTAAACTCGAAAAGGCCGAAGGGGGTACAAAAGGCCGTTTTGGGCCGATCTGCCTCCGTCACAGGGACCTGATTGTAGCCACTGGCCAAGTCGAGTGTTGAGAACCAGACAGCCCCGGATAGCGAGTCTAGTGTCTCCTCGATCCGAGGCAGAGGGAAAGCGTCCTTCCGCGTTTTGCTGTTAAGCAGACGGTAGTCTACGCAGAGGCGTAAACTGCCATCCTTTTTCCGCACCAAAACGATTGGTGAGGCGTACGGGCTGCAGCTCTCACGAATTACTTAAGCCTCAAGCAGCTGGTTGATGTGAGCCTTAACGGCCTCGTACTCTGACGGCGGGATGCGACGGTACCTCTGTCTAATCGGAACCTCGTCAACCAAAGGGATATCATGTGAAAGAAGGTTAGTGCAGCCCAAATCAGTTTCATGAGTTGCAAACACTGATTCATAGTCACGCAACAGACCCCTTACCCTTTCAGCGTCCTGATCTACCAGAGCCGGTAACTCCAATGATGCAACTCTCTCAGGCATAGAGGGCCCAATGTTCTGAGAGTTCACAGAGGCAGTCGTAGTTCGATCCTCTGTAATGCAGGCCGGCAGACTGACAACTTGTGCCTCGCTGAGCCTGCCAAGAGTGGTCCGTGGGTAGAGAAGAGCAGCCTTCGTCCCCACATTGACAACCGGAATATACGCTGTCCCACGAACCACTCGTACTAGGCAAGATGACACAAGCAGACCAGCAGGCAATCCAGTCTCCGGCGGTTCTAACAAGACATTACCTCCTGCAAACTTCTCTGAACAAGTGCCAGCCACTAACTTAACCATTCCCCCAGGCACTCTGACTGCCCGCTTCCCTCGAACCTTCACCGTACTTGTGGCCACATCCCTGTCCAAGTCGGCAGCATGGCACTGCTGTAAAGCAATGATGACAGGTTGAGGTGCCCCCACTACAGCAGGAGCCTCAAAAAGAGAAGAGCCCAGTGCATTGAAAAGCTCTGCATAGCATCGGCGTATAACATTCATCCCCAAGATACCAGGAGTGGAAGAAACTGCACCAGGGGGGTCCCTCACCACTAAAATCCCACAGCGTGAAACAATTTTGCCGCACAATTCCACATCAAGTTCTAAGTACCCGATATAGGGGATCTCCAGTCCATTTGCAGCCTTAAGCTGAAGCCAGCTGCAGGAACGAAGGCGATCTTGGCCCCATTCAGCAAACTGCTCGTGAAACAGACTCTCCGTAATGGTAGAAACCATGGAACCAGTATCCACCAAACAAGAGACCAAAACACCCCCAATGGAAACTTCCATATTTGGGCACGGCGCCACCAGTCCACAGGCTGGGTCTATCTGTAAGCCTAAGGGCTCCCCGCCTGAGCTGCGGCTCAACAACTCAGTGGGTGCTAGTTTTCCGACTGCCCATAGGAATGTCCTGACCTCTGACCACCCACCCTACTTCGCGGTTGATTGTAAACCCGGGGACCAGTACAATCCCGTGCAAAATGCCCAGGCTGTTGGCATCGCCAGCAAAGGAGAACTGAATGTGAACCATCCTCATGTGGAGAAGGGGCCTGCAATGATATGACTGTTTGAGTTAATTTATTCAACTGTTCCTGCTGTTGCTTGAGTAGATCCATAAGCTCTTTCATTGTAGGCCCAGACTGCCCACCCGGAGGGTTGGTCTGGGCACCACCCTGCACACCACATTGGAAGCCAAGAGCTGATGGTAAGGAATAGCTACGACCCCGAGCGCCCCCTGGCTGGCCCTCACGTTCCCACCTCATCGCCTCAGCACGAAGCTCCATCAAAGTAAGTGTGGGCTGCCTTCGAACCAGCTGTTTAAGCTCGCGGTGCAGAGCACAATCCAGTACATGTTCTGTAAATTGATCTCTCAACAACACTTCTGCATTTGGCATTCCGTCTGGGGCCTGCAGTCTAACTCGCGCCATCAGGGACATCAAAGCTAGTGAAAATTCCTGAAGGCTCTCACCCTCCATCTGACGCCGAGCAAAGAAGTCCTGTTGCAAAGTTATGTAAGACTGATGGCAACCATAGAGCTCCTTTAAAATGGACAAGATTTTACCTGGGTCGCTACGTTCATCAGCGGGACGAAACTTGATCTCCTGTTTAGCCTCCCCCTCCAAGTGGTCAAAGATGAAAAGAGCCCGGTCCACAGCAGTCAAATGTCGGGCCCGTATACATGCCTCAACCTCCTCGACCCATTCAGCGATCCCCAAGCCAGCCTTCCCATCAAAGATGGGGCACTTGCGGTCCCTTGGTACCACCAACAACCGCTCCGCTACAGCGGGGGTGGGGGACTGCGCATGTGAAGCGGAGGACTGAGAGGCGCCCTCGCCAGGGTCCAAGGAACCAGCACGATCCCGACGGAGCCGCTCATTATCCGCCTGAAGCTGTAAAACAAGATCTTTTAGCTGCTGCACTTCTTCCATGTCAGCTCAAGAAACTGCCAAAGGTCCTGAAGAAAAAAATGTTTGGGTCCCAACACCACCACCGCTGCTCTGGATTTTTTTTTTTTTACAGGAATTAAATAGGAAAGTTAACAAAAAAAAAACAAACAAAAAAGTCTCTGCCCCTTTAACTTTAGCGGAATCCTGCCAGCAAACGCCAAATGTGACATAACGAGGGTTAAACGTACAGGTTAAAAATTTTGCTATTGTCAACAACGCCACCTAGGATAGGCCTAGGACCCTGCACAAGGCAGACACAGGTTCGCTTCCCTTTTTTAAAGTGATGGGGGCAGAGACAAAACCCAAAACTTGACTACAAAAGTACAAAATTTATTTTCATTTAAAACATTTTTAAGTTAGGAACATTTGATTAATCATGGTAATTGCCAAAAGCCAAACAAAAAAACACATGCACACACACACACACACACATGCAAAGAACAAAGAAAAAAAAAGATTAAACAATCCTAAACTCAATTACAGTTAAAAATGTACAAATTTACAGTTTGGGTGTCCAGGTGCTCTGTGGGCCTAATATTGATGATCAGTGTCCACAACTGGAGCGACTCTGGCCTGTGGGGTCAATCCAGAGCAGTGGAGGCAGGAGGAGCTGCGCCGGTGGAAACGGGGCTCAGAATTTATGTACTTGTGATGATTGGCAGTCTCCAAACTGCCGCGGGAGGTGCAGCTCGGTCCCGCTGAAGTGCAGGGAAGCTGAGGTTAGACCACTAAAGATTAGAATTTGAGTATACATCAGGCAATAACGGCAACTCACCAATCAGAGAAAGCACCGGTCCCCCAGACCCCGAACGGAGGCGTGCTCTCAACCTCCGCTGTGCGTAATTCAGCGCCAACTAAATTAAAATGAGCTGTTAGGGTGACTGGGGACAGCCAAATGGATCAGAGGGAAGATGGCACCATGCTTACCCACAAGCAACGTCTGAGAAGCACAACGGGCTCACACAGGCCCTTCACTAAGGTTTGCCACACTGGAGGAGCTGGCCACACTGGAGCAGGAGGAAAGCGCGTGAGTGCCAAATGCGCGCAAGTGGAAGTGTGGGATAAATGATGCGCACTCACCAAAACGAGCAGAAGGCGTTTCCCAGGGCAGCGCTCACGCCGCCCAAGCCCACATACGTGCCAACAGGGCCACCAACCACTGTGTGAGGCTCCCCACCAGCACAACTCCACGGACCCAAAGAGACTGCTGCTTCCCGCAGGAGTGGCAAAAGAGTGAGCGCCCTCAGGCTCGGGCTTAAAAAAAAAAACAACCCACAGGTCCTGCCCCTGCAATTAGTGGCAGGCAGGTGCGTGAGGTGGTGTTTAAATGAAACAGGTAAGGGGAGGGCAGACGCACTCCACACTGCTACACTAAGTAAAGGAATAGCGCGTGAATTTGCAGGTGTGGTTTTTGGAGATGTTGTTCGAGCACAAAGCCATTAATGACTCCGTAAACTCTGCTGTCACTCTAACCCTTCTTGACCTCCCAGGAGGTGCTGTGTGAGGGACATCTGATGAGTGTCTGTGGGGAGGGGCCGTGGACCCCCCTTCCCCCTCTCACAGCCTGCAGATGAAGTGCTCTGATTGGCCAGATGCTTTTGGCTCTTGGCACAGAGGTGCCACACATTCTGCAGCAAGAGGAAAAGCCATCTTTGATTTGAAAGTCATTTGAATTTGGAGAATCGCAGCATTTAAATTTAAGTTTTAACTTTAGTGCGCTGGTAATGCGTTGGAGTTGTATGCATGTTTATGCTATACAAGAATAGATACTGTGAGTTTAGATTGGATTGCTCCGGTGAAGTACCTCAGTTTTCTTCGCAACAACAGTTTACAACAAGTTTGTCACATTGAATTTGTATGATTTAATTTCCAGAAATTAAGTTTGTTTTGCCCTCACTAGGGGCGCCATAATATGTAGGGTGAGAAAATGTCGATATCACACATAACTTAAGTTATGTACCTGATATCGGAGAATTGGATAAAAACAACCATGTAATAAATACAATAATTGATAATATCTTTATTTAGGGGCACCAGGGAATAACTCCCAACTGATAACGTGCATATGACGTCACAATATCAATTAATTGGCTCATTTATTGATTAAGTAATCTCATGAGTCCTTTCATTATTTAATTAGCTAATTAGTCCAATTCTCTTCAATAGAATCTGAAGGTAGTGAATTCTTTTACAAATCAGTGACCCAATTTCTGGAGTTAAAAGTACAAATATCACTTTCAGACAAAGATGGTTTTGTAGATTTAATGAAGTATACACAATAGAGCTCCGGACCCCACGTGACTTCCGGTTTTCGGGTCACCATTTTGGCAGTGAAATGAGTAGCGCCAGCACCGAAGCTTTCAAACCATCGGAGTACTCATCTCACTTTAATTCCCATGACATTGAGCTTTATATAAAAAAATTAAATAGGTTAAATATTACAGACCCATACAATGCCCCCGGGGTGCTTTTCAAAAGTATCTCGGCTGAAGAAGACGTCCCAGATCTGCAGTATCCGGATATATATAACTACCTGATAAACTTCCCATCGTCCTACACGGGTGACTCTCTAAAAGCCTACAAAAGCCTGGAGGGTTTTAAATGGACTCAGTCTGGCTTTGTAACGAACATCCAGCTGTGGAATCTTCAAGCAAAACAATGCTTTATCATCACTGGAAGGGTAAGTGTCCCAGTTTAATAGGTAGTGTAACGTTAGCATGGTTAGTATGGGTCCATGTTGTTTGTTTATGTTAGCTTGGCTAGCTACTGCGGTGCGTCTGGCTATCTGTAGTAAGTTTGTATCTTTAATGTACACAACTAAGTTAGCTAACATTTTTTATTTCATGTATAGGTTAATCATTCCCAAAGGCTTAATGACCCTCAGCTAAAGCCATGGATGGTGGTGAGGAATGATGGGGTTGTCTTAGGAGCCCATTGCAATTGCACAGCTGGACTTGGTGAGAGCTGCTCCCATGTGTCAGCTGTGTTGTTCAGCATATGGCAGCATAACAATGGAACAAAAGAAGAGATAGCTGTAACATCTAAGAAGTGCAAGTGGGCCACCCCAAGTGAGGACTCTTTCAAGAAAGTGGAGTATGAGCAGGGCAAGGACATCATTTTTAACAACTCTCAACAATATAAAAAAGGAAAATCTTCGAAAGGTCATTCTGCCCCCCCAGCTTTCCCACCTCTGACCGCTGCTGAGCAAGCCCAACTCTACTGCAACCTCTCACAATGCCGTACACAAGATGGGCAGATCATCAAACCAGCAGTCCTGTCTATTGTCAAAGAGTACTCAGCGTCTTATGTTCCAAAGGCTGTCATGCTGGATCTACCAGAACCCCTCACCAACCTGTATAAGAAGCAGGCAAGAGACCTCAACCTGGCAGAGTTACAAGATCGAGCGGAAGCACTATTTGAAGACATAACTGTAACCAAAGAACAGGTATAGAACATTGTATTATGTTTAAAATAACAGGAGCTAATAACCAAAATCTAAAATGTACTGCATGTATACCGTATATGCCAACTTAAAATGTTCTGTGTAACAGTTTGAATCGTCTTGTTTCCAGAGTGATATTGTAGAGGAGGAGACCCGAGCTCAGTCCAAGTCCAAAATCTGGTTTGAGCAAAGAAGTGGTAGGGTAACAGGATCTACCTTCAGAGCAGCCACAAAGACAGACGTCAGAAAGCCTGCAGTGTCTCTGATAAGACAGATATGCTACCCAAAGTCCCATAGTTTCACCAGTGAGGCTACCAGGTATTCATGAGCATAGAAGGGTTACCAATGTGGGGTGGCATTACTATTGTCCAAAACTAATGTTATTTTTGTTTCTTCAGATGGGGAAGTCAGCATGAGGAATTGGCAAGAAAATACTATGAAATGCAGCATCGCCGCTCACACACAGATGTCATAGTAGGATCAGCTGGATCCAGGATTTCACCCCTGCACCCATTTATTGGGGCCTCACCTGATGGATATGTTTCCTGCAGCTGCTGTGGTTCCGGTGTGATAGAAATTAAGTGCCCATTTTCTGTAAAGGACCTTTCTGTTAATGAGGCAGCAAATTCCGGTGCACACTTTTGCCTTGAGAAGGATGCGCAAGGAAAAATTAGACTGAAGCGGGAACATGCATACTACTATCAAGTGCAGATGCAGCTATTTGTCACTGAAAAACCATATTGTGATTTCATTCTGTGGACTGAAAGGGAAAGTACTTCACCTTTTGTTGAACGTGTCAAACCTGATGTTGCATTCTTTGACAAGGAATTGGAATGTGCTCGTGACTTCTTTAAAACATGTATAATTCCAGAGCTGCTAGCCAAGTATTTTTCTGCACCAAAACCAGCAGCAGCATTTGCTGATCATAGTCAACAACAGTGGTGCTACTGCCGTGAGCCAGAAGCAGGGAATATGTTGGTCTGTGCATCAGGTTTTTGTTCAGTTAAAAAGTTTCACCAAACCTGCCTTCGCATAAAGAGGGTCCCAAAACAGTGGTTATGTCCCAGCTGCTGAAAAGTAATAAATGCGCAAAAAAGAAAGAAAGAAAACACCTTAGTGAGTGGACTGTGAAATGAGTTAATAGTTGTAGCTGATACTGTATCTTATTTATGAATAAACATTTGTTAAACCAATAATCTCTTCCCCATCATTACTAATGAGTATCTGTAGCAATCAGGAATATGAAACATGGGTAGGTCATTCATATCAAACACACAAGAACAAATATCTGTGATCAAAATTATTTAAAGTAATGTCACAACAAGCAAGAAGTGAGTCACAAAGGTTTATTTGCAGGTTGAGCACATCTGTAGCCAGTCACATCAGTTCAATTTACTGTACATCCCTATCACTGGAAGGGCACCACAGATTCAGACACATTTGTAAGTGCACAACATACGCTCACAATCTTGTCAAGGTAGGTCACATCATTTTCTCTGTCTATGTCCGTGAAACTTATGGGGACAGTGCTTTGCAAGACTGTGTATTTTTGACGGAGAACTCCTATTACTCTTTCAATATGTATCCTAAGAGAGGCTAGACATCTGGTGTTCTCCAAGTCAACAGGATCTAACTGCTTCTTTCCACGGGTGAATGCTGGAATCTTTAATTCAGCTTGGCATTTCTGAATGGACTCTTTAACCAGGAAACCTCGGTCCGCTAAAACTACGTCCCCTGGGAGCAAATTAGATAAAAAGTTACTTTGTTCTGTGATGAACTTATCACTTGTCCGACCTCCCCATCCAGTGGAAATGAAACAAATGGAACCTTGAGGGCAAATTGCAATTAAATATTTCATTGTGTGGTGTGATTTGTAAGATGAGTAACACTGAGCACTGGCTAGCAATCTACTGGGTTTCTATACAAAACAATCTATAATGCAAACTGTCTTTTCAAAGCTACTGTTTCGAAATGCATATGGAAGAGATGTTCTTAAGTATTCTCTGTCAGGCCACAACACTAGACTTGGCACCAGTCTACAATGCATCACACTAATACAGTGTTTGAAGAGCTTTGAAACAGTGGTTGAGTCAATGCCAAAATAAAAAGCCAAAAATACAAAGGACAAGTTCATTCTAAGCTTCATTAAAGTTAACATGTACTGCTGAAAACATGTTAAACCAGATTTAAGTTTGAGAAAAGGAGCCACAATATGAAAGATTGTCATGAGAATTGAATATGTTGATAAACCAGTAAGAGAATTAACCCTTTTATCATTGTTATGCAAGCTCATCTCATTCAGTGTAGTCCTATTCATTTTTTCCTTCAACAACATATTTTCAGTCCTCAGAGCTTGGCATTCTTGTTCAAGAGATTGGACGCTTTTACCACAGGTTTCAGTGCTGCATGTTGGAGTTACTGGATCATCGTCATGGAGAACAGGCTGGACATCATTTCCAGGTTCTTCATGGGTAGATTCCATCAAAGGGTCTGTGGTGGGAGTTTGGTCTGCAGTAGGATCCTTGTTGCCGTCTTGGGGACAATCTGTTGATGCTCTGGTGAAAACACAAAAGTAGTATATTAAGAGTATATGTATACACTACTGATGACAGTTTGTCATTTTTTTTGTCAATCACTCTCTGTTTTCTGCAGTATATAGTAGCTTTCATGAGTAAGCAAGTACATTTTATTTGTAAAGCACATTTACATCCAGAGTTGTTTATAGTTAGCATATAATAAAAATAAAATACATAAATAAAACAATGTAATAAAATAAATAGAAAGACAATGACAGGGACAATGACAGTGACAATCACATGCATAGTCAGTGGCTACCAAATTCAAGAAGTGTGTGATGATTTCAAACCAGCCACAGATGCTCTGGGTTTTAACTCATTGGGTGTTATTAAACCTACAATGAATTGTGTGCAAACTTTATATAATTTTAACAAAAAGTGCGGTTGAACAGGTTATCTTTAATATATGCACCTGGGAGGGATGGCCTTCGCAGATAGCTTTGTCTGCTCCATCTTCTGTAGCTTTGCTTTCTGTCGTCTGTTGAAAACCTCCAGTCTCATTTTTCTTTTCCTCTTCTCTGGAGATGGAACGTAGTTGAAAATAGTTGGAACGAAGTCCGGACTCAAGGGATTATCACTCTTTCTCCCTACAAAATAAATGCAAACATTTCAGTATCGAACTGGGTTGTGTTTACTACGTTAGCACTTACTAGCTTACAAAACATGACATTGTTAGCCCCACAAATTGCATGCTATAATTCGACTAGCCATGTAGTATTAAACTGATCATAAACCACAATTAGAGCCATTAAATAATTAAGATAGTTATGGTAGTAAGTTTTGTATTCGGTAACTGACCTGATATGAAGTGATCGCTGCACAAGCGGAATCCAACGGCTGGGGGGTCCCATCTTTCAGTCTTGTTTTGCGTGCTCCTGGCTCTTTTAATGGCGCTGATCCACTTAGCTCGCCTCTCCGCATCTTTAGGAATGCGGTAAAACGACGTACCTTTCTTTTTCCCTCGTTTATTTGTGCAACCTGGTGCACAACAGTTATCGACCATATTTAGCCTCCTTCACCACAAGTCTGCCGAATGCTGCCAAAATGGCGGTTACCTCTGTTTACTGTCCCGTAACAACGTCATCTCCCGGAACTCTATACAGACTAGATATGAAATATGCAAATTGTCAAGAATAACATGAAGGAAACGTTGATTTCAAGATACATTGTTAAAATGCTAGGCTAAAGTGAGCTAAGCAAGACCTTTGTCTATGAATGGATTGGTATAGGCTGAGGACTGCATGTGTTCAGCCTTGGTAGGAGAAGTATTCTTTGAAGTATAGATTTTAATAAAGCCAACAACTGTGTGTAGCAAGAGAGCAGATCATACAACCAGAATAGCCTTTGGTGAATAGCAGTCCTTGGGTCTTGATGGTGGTGGATGGAGGCTTCTTGTCCACGGGGCCTGGACCATGCGGCTGCATCATGTGGCTGAACCAAGTCCTCCCACGATCCACAGTCTAGGTGCCAAAACTCAGAAACTTCTTCAGGTGGAAGCTGGAGGCTATTGAAGGGTTGTGGAAGTCCTCTCAAACGTGGAGCTGAGGTTTGAGGCCATCTAAGAGGCCCAAGGCCCCTTGGTTTCCTGAGCAGAGCCCAGGGTAGAGCCCAGGGAGGTCTGGTCACTCCGTGGTTCCAAAGCAGACTGGTTTGTCTTCCCTCTTGTAGAGTCGTTGGGGGAAGGGTGTTGCCATGGCACTTATCTTAAAACATTCTTACCCACAATAAAACCTGAGCCACAAGGATTTACACACAGTGGAGACAGAAGTTATAATATTTCTCAATATACAACAAAATGTCTTTGATTGAGGAAAGAAGTAATTTTAATTTATCCTACACCACGCAGTTTACAACGGACACTGCTACTTTTTTTCGGGGCCGCCTCATACTCAAAGTAATGCCGGTGTAGCGACTGTGATCCTATTTCGCTGGAAAACGAGGAGAACGGGTCCTGTACCTTCATGACGCGCTGCTTATGTGGATGAAGAACGCTGACGCGTAACTGTGTTTTAGGTGGCATTTAATCATCAGCTTATAGATAAAACACATTACACATTGGCCATACGTGTACGTGTACAAACCTTCACAAAATAAACGGTCAACAAAGAAATTCGGCTACCCAGATCCCTTTGACTTCTCACCTGAACGCCGGTGTCTGCCATATTTAAAGTTACTGGGCATATCCCCCAGAGCTCACGTGACTCACGCACCCCCCCTGACGTTACCATAGCAACCCCAAACATTATGGCTCTTACAGCCGGTATCTCTATGAAGAGAAATTCTCTATGGTCGTCCTCGCTATCATGCTTGATGTTGCCGCAGTTTATCACGTTGCAGTGATCGCATTTCTCATACATCATTCATTTATCACTCTCGAGAAGAGGGGACAAAAGTCACAACACATTGTGTTTGTAACACATTATAACACGGCTGGCTTAGAAGAAACAAGATGTAACCACATTACCCTCTTTTCTCTAAACACTAGGATGCACAGGGTCTCTGCTTCGCAGCCACTGGCAGTCTAGTTAGAGGAGAGACCCGGCTGGGGCTCTGTCATGAAGCCACCTGTGCCATTCCTTTAGTGATAACACAAAGGATACATAACAGAAAAACATCTGAAGTTAATCAGTCTAATCTGGAAAATCTAATTCTTGTTCCGTGTAAGAATCAGCCGACCACAACCGCTGATCCTGAAACTTTGAAACTTGCTATGCTAAATGTCAGATCTCTTTGTAACAAGTCTTTTTTTAATCAATAATTTTATTTGTTCTTATAATCTTGATCTTATGTTCATGGCTGAAACTTGGCTTGACCAAAATACAGAAAATGCAGTTTTAATAGAAGCATCACCACCAAATTTCAAATTTGAATCTGAAATACGGGAAAACAAAAAAGGAGGAGGCTTAGCTGCCATTTTCAGAGACCACTTTGTCTCCCATAGAATGTCTCTAGGGAAGTTTCCAACTTTTAAATATGTGTCTTTTAAAATACAACAAAAACAATCTCCTCCGATACTTTTCGTTGTCCTATACAAGCCACCGCAGTCATGTCACAGTTTTATTGATAATTTTAAAGAGTTGCTTTCAGTTGTATGCACAGATTTTGATAGCTTAGTTATTACAGGGGATTTTCATATTCATGTGGATAATGTTATTGACAGAAATGCAAAAGAGCTGAGTTCTGTTCTTGAATCTTTTGGTCTCACTCAGCATGTGAGTGGCCCCACCCACAGCAGAGGGTGGGGCCACTCTAGACCTGTTAGTTGCAAAGGGGGTGAACATTTCTAATGTAAACGTGGTCGATGTTGCGCTTTCGGATAATTTTTGTGTATTTTTTGACATGTGTTTCACTAACAAACCACCAGTGGACTCTGCAACTGTACGAAGAAGACACATAAATGAAAATACGGGTGAACTATTTATGGGAATGATAAACTTTGAGAATGCATCGTATTCTACTGTAGATGAACTGTTTAACTCTGTCACCTTGAATGTTCTGGACTCTATCGCTCCTGTGAAGGTTAAAATAGTGAAAAATAAACAGAAGGCGCCGTGGGCTAAAGCAGACTCGGTCAGGGCACAAAAGAGAGAGTGCCGGAGGGCCGAGCGGAAGTGGCGCAAGTCCAACCTCCAGGTTGATTACGAGTTCTTCAAAGATAAGTTGTGCGAGTTTAACCAGGTGCTACGTAGTACGAGAGAAAGGTATTTTTCTGAAATGATTGAAGGCTGCAGCAACAATCTGCGTGTTCTGTTCTCAACAGTTAATAGATTAACAAACCCCCCTGTTCAGATGCCATTAGGGCTAACTTCCAAACGTAAATGTAATGAGTTTGCAAATTTTTTCAATGACAAGGTTCAAGGCATCAAAAACGCCATTGTCTCCAATCCACAGATAACCATCCAACAGCCAGAAAGGCTCTTTGAGCTAACTTACTTTGCACCTGTAAATGATCAAACTGTCCAAGAGATAATCTCCTGTTTGAGCTCCTCCACATGCAGCCTGGATGTACTACCCACTAGATTTCTAAAGTCTGTTCTGAGCAGTCTGTTACCTTCACTCACACATATAGTAAACATGTCCCTTAATTCTGGAATATTCCCAAAGGCCCAGAAAACTGCAGTCATCAGGACCCTGCTAAAAAAGAGCATTCTGGATGCTACGGTACTTAACAACTATCGTCCCATCTCAAATCTGCCATTTATGGGGAAAGTCCTTGAAAAAGTTGTCTACCAACAGCTAAATAGATTTCTTATAATCAACTCATTTGATATGTTTCAGTCCGGCTTTAGACCCCACCACAGCACTGAGACTGCTCTTGTCAAGGTTACAAACGATATCCGGCTGAACACTGACGCAGGCAAAGTCTCAATCCTAATCCTGTTAGATCTGAGTGCTGCCTTTGACACCGTCGACCATGAGATCCTCTTACAGAGACTAGAGGACTGGGTTGGCGTCGCTGGCACCGCCCTAAGTTGGTTTAGGTCTTACCTTGAAGACAGGAAGTACTTTGTGGAGATTGGAAACTGTGTCTCAGATCATATGGCCCTGACTTGGAGACTTGGAGATTCTTATCCATGCATTTGTCTCCAGTAGGTTAGACTACTGCAATGGCCTGCTCACAGGTCTGTCCAAACAGGCTGTAAAACAGCTGCAGTACATTCAAAATGCAGCAGCTCGAGTCCTGACTAGAACCAGGAAGTACGACCATATTAGTCCGGTCCTCAGGTCTCTGCACTGGCTTCCTGTGGCTCAGAGAATAGACTTTAAAACAGCTCTGCTTGTGTACAAATCTCTCCATGGCCTCGCACCAAAATATATTAGTGACATGTTAGTCCCATATGAACCAGCCCGGACTCTGAGGAGCACAGGGACTGGACTCCTGTTAGTGCCCAGAGTCAGAACTAAACATGGGGAAGCTGCTTTTCAGATTCATGCTGCTAAAATCTGGAACAATCTTCCTGAAGATGTGAGACAGGCCTCCTCTCTGACAATGTTTAAAACCAGGTTAAAAACGGTGCTGTTTAGCTGTGCATACAACTGAGGGATTTTATGTTTTTATCTTTCCTTTTAATGTTCTGTGATTATTTATGATTTTAATGCTATCTGGTTCAGCACTTTGAGTTGCCTTGTGTATGAATTGTGCTATACAAATAAACTTGCCTAGCCTTACTTTTTTGCGGATGTGGTAAAACGGCTTCTGAGGTCAGTGTTGAAGGTGCGCCTGCTTTCCCACGGGCCGATCCGGTGGGCTTTATAAGCGCTCCTCCTCTCATTTGCCCCTCTTTGCCCTCACGCCTCTGCAGCTATGTGTTTGCCCCAGCTCCGCGCATCCAGTGCCGCTGTCTGGTTTCCTAAAGCACCTAAAACAACATCTGCGCGTCAGGTAAACCACTGCTTCCATCACAGTAATAAAACGCACATTTACTAAATCTAAACTTTTTTCTAGGTGCGTTTCAGCGGCACTGGCATGCTGCTTTGCCTGTGCTTTTCCTCAGCTGTTGCCTCTACTGCTTTGCTCGCTGCTTGCTTTGCTGCCTTGCTTCGCTGCCTTGCTTAGCACATTTGCTTCACTGCTCTGCTTTGTGACTTTGTTTCACCCCGCTGTATCTTGCTGTTCTGTATCCCTCACAGTTTTTGACGTCTGCGTCCAGCACTCACGCACTTTAACGAGAGCTGCGTCCCGGCTTTGGGGCGTAAGCCACTTGTGGGAACGTGCAATAATGCAGTGAATGTGAGTAAAGTGTGTGAACAAGTGTGTATGAACGTAGCAGCCCGTTGTATCCATTTAGAGGAAATTAAATACAAATGCTGTCTTGATAACACTGTAAAATAAACCTGTTAAACTTGGAACCTGGAGCATTCTAATCCTTTGATACTTATTTGTTTGTCCTTATTTTATATTACAGTACTCTTCCGGTGAAATTCTGGCCTTGGCGTTGCTTAGTTTATTTCATCACTTCCATATTTTAAGCTGTTTAATCAATTAATTTTACTTATTTCCTA